CTTAGATTGTGAGGAAGATAGGAAAATACCTATTATCCTAGGGCGACCATTCTTAGCAACAGGGAGAACACTTATCGATGTACAGAAAGGTGAGCTAACTATGCGAGTCCAAGATCAAGAGGTTACATTCAATGTGTTTTCAACTATGAAATTTTCAAAGGAAGCGGAAGAATATTTTCAGGTTGATTTGGTAAAAGAAGCAATAAATGAGGTATTCGTAGGAAGCTGTATTCCAGATCTCCTTATGAACACCAAGATATATAAAGAGAAGGTAAAAAAGTGGCATGATAAAAAAATCATTAAGCGGAAGTTTGAGTCGGGTCAAGTTGAACTCCTTTTCAATTCTCGGTTAAAGCTCGTCCCGGGAAAACTCAAATTAAGGTAGTCAAGGCCATTCATTATTACGAAGGTATTCCCACATGGAGCAATTGAAGTCAAGGAAGCCAATTCGAAGAGAACTTTCAAGGTGAACAGGCAGAGATTGAAGCATTATTGGGCCGGCGACATTGGTCGTCAAAAGACCTCAATTACGCTTGCCGACCCGGGATGAAACAGGAAGTAGTCAGGCTGAAGATTATAAAACAAGCACTATTTGGGAGGCAACCCAAAGTTTAGATTTTAATTTTTATTTCATGTTTATGTCAATTTAATTTTTTTTTTTAGGAGTAATCATGATATTAGAAAGTTAGTGTAGTTTAATTAGTGTGTCAATTGCTTACAAGTACTGAGGATCGAAGCCAACGCTCCAATTCAGCGTTTTAGCCCAGCGCCCCAGCGCTACAAACCAGTGCCTAGGCGCCTACTTGCTGCACTTGGCGATGTCCCACAACAAAAAATCAGCACCCCAGCGCTATAGACCAGCGCCTAGGCGCCTGCCTACTATCCCAGTGCCCCAAACAAGCACTCAGCTCTTCCAAAATAGCTCCCAAGCACAGCTGCCCTTGTCCCTAGCACAGCTGCCCTTGCTCATCAGAAAATCAACACTAAAACCCATACTTTAGCGCCACTTTCATGGACAAAAAACTCACCACATCAACTCCTAATCTTCCAAATTTTCAAACCTCTAAAAATCTATTCACCCCAACTCATCTTCACCCATATTTCCATTGAATAACCTTGGATTTCTCGATCTCCTTTACTCAACAATCTTGCAACTCAAGTGGCATCAATGAGTATCAACTAGCACCAAGGATTTCTCCATTATCCGTGGGTAAAGATTAAGCTTTTCAACGTAAGTTTTCTAGTCCACCTATGTTTCCTGAATACACTCCCGACTCAGCAGATGATGAGAATGCTGATGATGATGCCAACTAGCGAAGTCTCAAGGAAGTACTCTATCTTAATTTTTCCTAGTTTGTACAATGAGGACAATGTTTAGTTTAAGTTGGGGGGTGTATTCATGTTTGCATTATTAAGTTTGCATTTAGATGGCATGTTTTGCACTTTAATAGCATGTTTTAGTACGACTTGAGCAATGGGTTGATTGAATTTGATTATGGCCAATGATAAATGGGATTAATTGTCAATTCAAGGGAAATTAATGAATATGTTAAGTCTGTAGTTTGACATACTAGTTGGTTTTACACTGTTTGTCATCCTTTCATTTCTAAGCATATATCCACTTGTTTGGTTGCTTATTATTTATAGAATTTATTTGGTTAAATGCTTGTAAAAGATATCATTGAAACTCTAGAAAACTTATTTAAACATCATTCAAAGTAAATTGAGGTATTCATATAAGTTTTAGGGAAATATTGGTTATGATGGGTTAGTATAAAAAAAAATAAAAAGAGTTTTTGAAAATTATTTTGATTTGATCCTTTATGAGTTGGAAAAAAAAATATAGGAAAACAAGAAACAAGAAAGGGGCATGTGGTGAGTAGAGACAGAGCGTAAAATGCACACACTCATAAACACATGTTGAGAACGAGATAGAGCGTAAAACACATTCATTCAAGAAAAGGCAAGATAGAGCGTAAAACGCACTCCCTCAGTAGGAGGTGAGATGGAACATAAAATGCACTCACCGAACGAATGAAAGAGAGAGAGAGAGAGAGAGAGAGAGAGAGAGAGAGAGAGAGATGAAAAAAAAAATTATACCTTCTAGTTATATGTTTTGCCTTAATAAGCAGAGGTTGATGTGAAACGTAAGTTCATAGAGTTGATATTGAGTATCTCCTATGAAGCGTTTGATTACGTAAATGTATCTGGGTGATGTCTAGCTTGAACAGTTTGGATATATACAGGTATTTAAAGGATCATGAGCGGAGGTAAAATTAAGGAGTATGTTAAATTGTTAGACTTTGCACTGTTTTGAAGTTTCCCGTGAATTATTATTTGTAGTAACTTTTGGGGCCATTATTCAGATTCATATTAATCCATTACTTGAGCAGTTGGTTGTTAGAGTTAATTTTTATGATTTTTGTTCTTAGCATTTTGCTTGAGGACAAGCAAGGATTTAAGTTTGGGGGTATTTGATGAGTGAGTTTTAGACCTACGAATTGAGTATTCTTAGCTTGATGAAATTGCAAGTTTCCAACTATTTTATGTTCATTTTTATTTATTTTGAGTGTTTTAATGTTATTTTGTAGGGACCATCATTTGAAAGGAAACAAGGTCATTTGGTAGCCTAAGTGTTGGATTATTTGAAGACTAAGCAACAAGGGCAGCTCTAGGCATAAAAAGGGATCAGCACCTCAGCTCTACAACCAACATCGCAGCTCTAGGAGGGCGACAGTCAGTGCAGCTGCGCTGATTTTAGGGGTTGCAGTGCTTGTTTTGATTCAGAACGCGAATTTTGACTTGTTTTGTGATTAGGAATTGAACCCTCGTGCTACATATGTGCTAGGGTTTGAGTTGGGACTAATATATACTGATATTTGGGGCTGCTAATAGGAAAAAAAAATGAAGGATTGAAAGTAAATTGAAGGCAAGGATCAAAGAAAGCAACGCGAAGAACATTGGGCTTGAAGGCTAGTGAGAGATTGAAGACTACAACTAAGTTTTCATTCTTTTCTCTTACTTTTAGTTTTTCATTTTCTAAGATGTTGTTTAATTCGAGAATGATATTTTTCAATTATGTTATGAACTAAATCTTTATTAAGATTGCAATAGAACCTGATTTTTAGTTAAATTGATCTACTCTCGTTTCTAGTTCTTATTGATCTTATACGAGTTGTTTGTCATATTTTGTGCTTGATATATGATTGTTTGGCCAACAATTAATTTGATTCCCTGGATAAAATTAAAAGATGAATTCTAGGTTTAGATCTGAATATGATGACTTGCATCTAGTTAATTCTTCTTAGGATTGAATAGTTGGATTTGTGTATGGGATAGGAATATACCTATATGTCGTATGTAACTTTTATGAGAGTTTGAACTTAATGAATCTATTCCAAATTATTTTGCATAAGAATATAGTAATTTAATTGGGAGAGATATTTTTATCTAACTATCGGAAACGATTAAGAACTTATTTTGATTAATTAACTGGAAAGAGAGCTATAAAGATTTATACGAAGCAATAGAGGAAGTTGTAATCTTAAGTTCTTTTATTTGGTAAATTCAATCCTTGATTATTAAGTTTAGATTTAGTTTTAAATCAGTCATTTCATAGTTCAATTTCAATTGTTTAAATAAAATTGAATTGATATAAACTTAGTACTTGGAAGTTATTAGTAATAATTCTCTGTGGGATAGATACTCTACTTATCACTTTATTACTTGTTGATCGTGTATACTTGCACGTAAATTGTCATTATCAAATTCAGATAACAGGGGGTATCCATAAAATCTTTAATAGCCCACTAGGCCACCATGTCACATGTTGAACCAGGATGGCTACTCCACTCCTCTAAACCCCCCCCCCCCCAAAAAAAAAAAAAAAAAACTTCATTCACTAACTTTGGGCCCTTAATTACGGCCCGAGGTCCTGTCAAGCTACTTCCCGCCTCCATTGGGATATCAACCTCAATAATTACATCTGAACTGCCTTTATTCACCGAGATTATAATTTCAATTTTCTTAAGCTTTCCTTCCCCGATTATCTCGGTTTCCTTTAATAAAGGATTTGGCTTGTTAATTGAAGGCTCCATTAGTTCCCTTATCATTCCACTTTCCATATTCTGCATCTCACTTATGCTCTCTGTAATAGGAATTTCTTCAACTCTGAATATTTAGCTATTCACTCCCAAGTTACTCGACTCGTTCACCGTTTTCCCAATTTTGTGAGATTGCTCCAATGATTTTGATCCGCTCTCCGGAGAAACGTCGTTGTTCTTTACCACTGGTAATTTATCATCACCGGCCCTTTAGCCTATTGTACTCTTCAACCCTCTACCCACTGGAGCCCTCAACCATGCCCTGCATCGGTCCTTTCATAACTGAGATTGATGAATCTAGCCTTGATGGACATTCTCTTTGCTCATGGCCAACCATCCACAACAGCAACAAAAATAAGGCAATCTTTTATACTTGAAAAACACAGTAAAACTTGATCCCCCCCCCCCCCATCCCTTTAATATTCATACCTTTAAGAAGAGGTTTCTCAATATTAATAATCACCCGAACTCTCAAACACCTTCCCCATCCTACTCCGTTTATCAAATCCGTTTCAACAAAGCATCCTATCTTATTGCCTATAATTTCTACAGTTTCTTGGCTGGTCACTTCCTTGTGATCAGATTTTATCTCCTTGAGAGATACAATGTCCTTATCTAAACATTTGATAAGAGTCATTTTCTTTGACAGAACATAGCACATCTTAATTTACAGTTCATCCAAGCTAACCTCACACCATTGGGATACCCATGTGGTTTATGTTTTTTTTCCTGTCGTGATCTGGTAAATATTTTCGCTTTAATACGCATATATAATTTAATGTAAGTTTGAAATTGGGGACCCCTTTTTATTTTGTACCTATTTAGTCTATTAGGTTCATTTTTCAAAAAAACGAGAAGAAAATTAAATAAAGAGAAACATAGTTTTATTAGAAATAATTAAATAGAGAAACTCTCTCTCTGATACAGAGTTAGATCACAGACTAGCTTTGGTTCTCTTGGACCATGCCTTGATGATCCGTAATTTATTGTAATGATTATTCTCCGTATTACTCCAAACGAAGATAGCAGGCTTGACTTGAAACTTTTCGTATCTTTGCAAATTCTAGTGTCTTTTCCATCATGGGCTTTCTTGAAGAAATGCTTGACGTAATCCGAGTAAAGAACTTGCTTGTACATTGGTTTCTCTCCATTCTCCAGCACTTCTGTCAGTGGACGGATAACATCAAAAGGTCTGGGGTTCACAAAAATTGGGACTGAAACCCTGTTCTTGCTTCCATTGGCAGTCACACGATGCTCGATGCTTTTATATCGACCATTGCTCATGATCTGAAGCGCATCACCAACGTTTATGACAACAGATTCACTGATTGGAGGAACATGGATCCAACTATTACTATCCATTTTCCGAACATAAAGTCCACTGATATCATGAATACGAGATATACCTGAAAGTCGAGACCCCTCGGCAAGAGGGAGTGATAAAACTCATAAGGAATAGTGATTAATTTTCTTTCCAACTGTCTACGCGATTCCGGCGTGTCGAGGTGGATTCTGCCACTCAAAAATAAATGTTAGAAGGGAGACGGAATATTTTCTGGCGTGTCAAAATTATTATTTGCAATGCTTATAGAATTGGAGATTTTTTTACTTAATTGTGCTTTTGCAAATACGTCAATTGGATTTTTAGGCAGGGGGTTTTATTGAGGAAAATAGGAGTTCTACTCTTGAATTTCTATTTCATAAGTCATACAAATGAACCCGAATATGACACGATTAGTAATTAGCTCTAGACAGTGTCAAAACCTTTTATAGAAGGAATTAAACATGTCGAATTAGGTTGAGATGAGTGATTATCTCCAATACACTTTATTTTTAAGGCACATCATCTATCATGCATTCAAATGAGACCCATTATATACAAATAAGTCTCCCACTCATTAATGGTAGATGATGTTCCTTGAAGAGATAGTATATTGTAGAGGATCTGAATCTATGTTGACCAGTATCAAATGATATCGCATTATTATAATGGTTTTGTTGATTTCATTTTCACACATTTAAATTTTCAATTTGTTCTGTTATGCTAATTAATTCCACACCATTTAGTCTATATTTTTGTGTTTTTTTTTTATTAGCGTAGCATTCCACGTAATGCCAAGCGATAATTGAGACCTGTGAAAATGGGTAAAGATAAAAATTAGATACATTATTGGTTTCTCTTGTCATGTCAATAATCACAATATCAAACATATCAAGTTAATTATTCAACCGTATTGTTGCTCCTTTTTTTTTTCTAATCCGTATTTTGGCCATTTATATGGAGTTGAATTATGTTCTTTTGGAACATAGGGGCACACTTTTTGCTTATATGGTATTAATCGAGAATTCGAGTACAGTCCGAGTGTCTCTTTTCTATTAACATTCAGTTAATCTAGACATCACTCTTTTCTTTCTCCTTTGCGCCACGTTTGTGTGTGTGAGAGAGAGAGAGAGAGAGCCTTGCTGGCTTCCTTGCAGCAAAAGCACATGCTTGAAATTTAGACCCAAGCATCTCACATGGTGAAGAAACCTAATCAATGTCACATGCATTATAGACTCAGCAAAGGACACAAAACTGCGAACCATCAACCAGGGACCTGCCTGCAGGAATTATAGGATTGGTTTTGAATGGCAGCAACCTAAATTATGGATGAGGCATGTACTCGCAAACCACATGTATTGGACCAACCGGGCCTTTCCATTTGAGCTATCCTTGATGAGTTATGCACAAATAATATATTTTATTGTGCTATGTTTCGTGTTTATATGAAACTAATCTAGATGTGCATAGTATTTTTTTTTCTACATCTTCAACAAGGATTCTATTCTACAATATTCTATAGCTGTTTTACAATCATAACACAGCCACACAATCATCATATTGGTAAATGACTCATCAAACAACGTAAAATTCACATTTCCTCAATATTTTGGCAATCAAAATATATGAACCTTGAAGGTTCTAATTGTTTCTCATTCACCCATCATATCACAACCATAATAAACGACTGAAAATTGCCACACCAACTGTTCATGATGCAGTTAGATTCTGCTCTGAATGTGAAGCTCCCGCTTCAGTTTGTCCCTCAAAACTCTCCGTAATATCTTATTTGAAGCGGTTCGAGGAAGCTCTGGGATAATCTTTACAAAGGTCACCTATAAACGAGTAACAAAAATAAAAAATAAAAACAAATTTACCATCACCGTGATTTTTTAACCTTGGGAAATATTTGATTGCAATCTAATTCATTCCTTTAAACTGATTTGTCATAGAATAATCAACCCATTATGTTACTGAGAGGAATCAGCACAATGCAGAGTGCTATTGTTACATGACTGATAAGACACAATTATCTAGTACATAAAATCTTCAATACCAAATCTATAGGCATGGAAACCCATGGTCCGGAAAACAACAAAAAAAGAAAGAAAACAATTGAGAGCAAAGTCTGGAGATGAAGGGCTCATGTTTCCACTATTGTGTAAAATCCACAAGAACACTAGAAATTTGCGCTCCTTTTATACACTATGTAATTTCCCATCACACATTCAACTAATCCATCACAACTCCTATTAGCTAGCAGCTGTATATATAAAATGTCTTCTTGCTTGGCTTTGAATAATCACCTAAAAGTACAAGAGATATCCAGAAAGAGTAAATTTATTTCCAATCCAACCCAAAACCAATTCGCGGCAAATAAAGTAGCCCCTTAAGTATATAAACCAACTTTGGTTGGACCTAATCATTCTCTGCAAGAATAAATTCTCTTTACGCCCTCCTACATATGGGCATATGGGACCCGGCTCGAATGTTGAGTCAACAACCAACCAACCACGCGTACCGGAAAATTCAAATGGATAAGAGACTTGACCTTCTGAGCACCTAAGGCCCAGTTCTGATACCATGTTAGAGCATCTAACTCAAAACTAACTGGCAATGAGTGGAGTGGGCCCTAAAGTATATAAACTAACTTTGGGTGGTCCTAATAATTCGATATGAAATAAAAGATCTCTTTACAAGGCATAAGGTGTGTTTCATGTCTATTACTCTTGTAACCAAAACAAACGTGATACCAAGTTGCGCTACATCCCTTCAATTGATCTATAGACATGGTTATTGGCAGGAACTTATTAATCCATCATTTAGGCTTATAATAAATTAAAAGTTGATCCTGCAACATCTTTTTCCTTTTTCTTTCAAAAATTTGGAGATAGGGAGAGGTGACATTATCTATATGGAAAAAATCCAAATAGAAAACATTATCATTGGAAAATTCTCAAGTTTTGCTATAGGAAAGTTGATATTGGGGCTTGGGTCATATCGATTCCAGCAATAATCAGAAAATGAGATTAGAACTAATCACAGCAATAAGGTTAAAAGTCTGGGGTGAAAGGAGAAAACAAATGACAAAATTGGAAGACTATAAGTTCGAGAACTCTATAAGAAGTATGCACCTTAAATAAAGGGTTAAGGTTGCTTTGGATGGCTTTTGAGAATTTCGTCTTTAGTTTGGCCGGTTCAATGCTAAATCCTTTCCTTATTACCACAAATATAGCCAACTGCTCTGGACCACCATTTACTGGTGAAGCACTTACTGCAGCAGTTTCCAAGACACTTTCATCAGCCCTATCACAAACGCGCTCAATTTCGATTGAACTTGTCTGCATGTAAACAAACATTCCAAAACAATATTTGGCCTCAAATAATAGCCAAGCAAACCAAACTTCTGAAATTAAAAGAACAATATGTGCTCAATTTCATTCTGAAGACAAAAAGCACGTGCTTCGTTTTCTGCATGCATCAAGAGCTAATTTGGCAAAAATAATAAAACCCAGGGAAGTGGGTTTTGTTAATTGTGCTTCATTTTCTGCATATATCAAGAGCTTAATAAGCAAAAATGCAAAACCCAGGGAAGTGGATATTGTAAATTGGGCTTCTTGCGAAACATATTCCCTAAAATTTTTGTAAGTTCGCCATTTTTTATTGCTGCAAGCTCATGGACACAGCAGGCTCACTCAGATATGATACGACATGAACATGACTGAGCAGCACTCAGAAAAAAGAAAGATAGGAGAATGTGATACCTTTATGCCACCAAGATTCATAGTGTCATCAGCCCTGCCTTGGACCATAATATAGCCTCCAGTTGTTCTCTTAATGATATCTCCGTGTCTCCTAAGGCGCTGAGAAAACCAATCAGGTTGAGTTTCAATCCCAATTTTTTATCAATGGTTCACATTAAATATATCAAGGTTTTAAGTGATAAAAGCAACATGTCATTGAGTCCAGTAGCCTGCGTGTTTTTTGCTTCCAAGTCTTGTAAGAGGTTTAACTATCATTCCAAGATGTTAAAAACTAACAAGTGATGCGAATTTGGGGAATATGAAGGATCTTATGTTAGTTTCAGGAACCCAAGATTCCAAAACCGTAAGAACCTCTTTCTATTGGTTCCTGAAAACTGCCCATATTCTTGAAATTTTTCCATAAAATGGACTCTACGTTTTCTGACTAGAAATATGTTTAATAAAATGAAGATGAATAGGCCAAATTAAAGAGAATTATTGTTACAAATTATTTGAAATGCACTCTGTTTTCCTTTTCTACATAAAACCAATTATGAGGAACCTAAAATCAGGCTTTGCGCAGTATAGCTTTGGTGACTAGTCACCGAGAAAAGAAAGTTGACTAGATGCATCTAGAACAAGGGTTCTATCTTTTCTCCCCTATGTTCAATTATAAGTCAAACCTGATCAATAATATTTCTAGCAGGGGGAAAGATTTCTCTGAAACAGCATACCATCCCTTTGTATATTGGCATTTCCTTGAAGTACACTTCCTCATGATCAGCATTAAGCAGTCTATCAGTTGCTCCCATGTACAGAGGAAATAAACCCACTTCACCAACACAAGCTTGATCATCTGGCTGTCATATAGGTCCAAAAAAAAAAAATCAACATATAATCAGAAGCAGGATGAAGAGTAACAATTAACAATCCATTAGGTTACGCTTCCCTACAACAGTTACAGCACTCATGCAATGACCACTCATGACCAATCACTGGCATCACATCCATCGCAGAGCACGTATGTATAGCCACCATTTCATCCGAAAAGGCCAAGTAAAGATGCTTCTTGCCTAAATATGAAACAACAGCAGTTTTCCATTCTACCAAATGTGGCATAATGTGTTTGGTAACCAGTAGGTGATTTGAATAATTGCCAAGAGACTTAAATCCAGTCTGAAGAAGTTCTTACATATGGAAACCCATGTTCATCAAGGATCACAAAGCCTGAAGTCATTGAGGCAGTGCTAAATGCTCCAAAAGCCTGTGATTGCAAAAGACTTCCTTGGATGTAGGACGATGCAAGTTCCGTGCCTCCACAACATTCAACAATGGGTTTGTAGAAAGCCCTTGAAGAAAGCCAAAGGTCATCATCAACACTGGAGGCTTCTCCAGTAGAACCAAATGACCTGCAGATGCTGACGTTTAATTCCTTTTTCTGTTGTAATGCGACCATGACTTTTGCAAGTTTAAATAAAAATTACTTTATCTTTGTCCAATCAAGGCCTTCCACACAATGTGTATTCTTCCAGGCCTTCACTAAACTTGGGACCGTGCCCAAGATGGTCACACCTGCATCCTAAGACATGTAAAAAGAAAGAGTTGTTCTCCAGATATCAACGTATTAATATATTAATTCCAAAAAATTTGAGAATGGAAGAATGAAATTATAGGGCAGGTTACCTCCATCTGAGACACTACCCTGCCCATTAGATGGATAGTTAGGAAACTTTTTATGCCCAAAATTTTTTCATGAAAAAGGAAAATCTTATAAACTTTGATTTTCTTTTTTTTTTTTTTTTTTTTTGTATTGTCAATTTAAAGCTGTGTATGCAACATGAGATTCATTTTCATTGAACGCTAAGGATAGGCAACAGCTTCAAAGCTGTTCTGGACTCAATTTTCTGACCATCAACGAAAGGAAGAACATAAATCCCATTCCCACCTGTATACTTAAAAACCTAAAAAAAAAAAAAAAACTACAACTTCAATTCAAGAAACCCCAGTATTATTGTCTTTCAGCTCAGGACAAAGGATATTAGGCATTCAGGGAGTCACCTGAATAAATTTCCCAAAACCACGCCCCAGTGGAGATCCATGATAGAGAGCCAGAGTTGCACCAGTAAGAAAGCATGAATAGAGTGTAACTGGTCCCATCACCCATCCTAAATTTGTTGGCCAGCAGAAGATATCTCCTGCTTGAACATCATTGTGTGCCCAGGCATCAGCAGCACACCGAATGGGAGAAGCTTGTGTCCATGGTATAGCTTTTGGATCTCCTGATGATTTCGAAGAAATTACAGGATGAAACAATGTCACAGTATTAGTATCGAGAATAAGTTGTCACACCAAACAAGTTTTAAACCTGTCGTTCCAGATGAGAAGAGGATATTGGTAATAGACTCTATTGTCTGATAGGCTGGAGAGTAATAATTTGGTCTGCAAGATATGAAGATATTGTAAAAATAATATGTTTCATACTGAATTACAAAACACAATAAAATTAGAAAGCTATAAGTAATCAAATGTTGCCAAAACAATGCATGAACCACATAACAATTTGAGACCGAAGGTCTGTAAGTTACCTTGGAAGATGACGAACACTGGATAGGAAATCTTTCCAGGTTATATCCTGTGTTCGTAACGGAATGTCTACCTCCTTTCCGGCTGCAGGAATCACAATAGCTATATATGGAGCAGCTTCTACAACTCGACTGCAAGGAAAAACTTTTGTTAAAAAATAAAAATAAAACAAAAATGATGCCTGAGGACAGCTATAAAGATGCTTAATATTAATGTTACATTCCCTTGAAAGAAGTTTGTTGGGTAAAGTATTCAACGAATGATTGCCAAGGAAGCACTTTCGAAAAATTTTGGTTTACAGCAGTCTATCTATTAATACGCATTAGGATCATTTTGGGAATTTAAACTTCTTTCCTCTTTTTTTGTGTTGTCCCCAAACACCACTGGCACAAACCTATTGAACTTTGTGTTACCAAATATCAATTCCAGGTTCTTAAGGGATTTTGTGGCAAAGGTGCATTGCCTTATTTGCCTCACATAGAAAGCTGCATCAAGCACTCACTTCACCAATTATAAAGAAGTTGGATAACTTAAATGATGATTAACTATGTATTGACAGAGAATGCAAGGGAACTAGATATAGCTTTGGTTGAAGATTAACTTCAGGTCAGTCCTACTTAAATGTAATTTTCAAATTGGTTATCTCCAGGACTGCCTTCATACATAGGTTTCACATAAAAGACCCAATGCTGGCATTATTCATATCGAATTGGATTTGGTGATCTCTCTCTCCTCTCATGTTTGTTTCTCTTCCTTTTCCTTCTCTTCTATTTCTTCTTTCTTCTTCTCTTGTTCTCTCTCTCTGCGTCTCTTATTCTCTTTTCTCCTCTTCCTATACTCTCTCCCCCCCCCCCAACAAATATTCTCTATTCTTGGTCCCACATATGCATCAATATCAAAGGGTTGTAAACTGTAGTTTTAATTCTCAGTTCTGTTGCATAAAAGGCACATCTAAACATGAGCTCACTTGGCATGCAGAGTATGGAAATCCATTCAACATTTCAATATGACCAATCTTAAGCAAAAGATCACTGTAGGAGATATTTACAAAATTTTAGCATCAAGCATAACATTGAAATGTAATCATTACCTGTACAAAGGTACTCTTCGACCACCTCGCATTATGAAATCCTAAATTTGCTGCAAAGTCAGAACCATTTGCAAGGCAGAAGATGCATAGATGCAAAATGAAAATCAACTAAAAAAAGAGTGGTTCAGTGCATGAGCCTCCCACCTGCAACGTCGGGGGAGGGTCAGGTCTACGCAATCTTACCTTGCATCCAAAGACGCTATTTCTGCGACTCAAACCCTTATCATCCAAGCCACAATGAAGCAACCTTACCACTACGCCAAGGCCTACCCTCATGACAAAATGAAAATGAACTAACAGAATCCATGAGGGTGCATTACCATCTTTTGGAGTTCACTTACCACTTTTTGAGAAGAGATTGCCACCTTTTGGAGTGCACTTATCACATTTTGAGCTGCACTTACCACCTTTTGGCATGCGATTTGAGAAGGATAGGAGAAGATGGGGCACGTCTGGCACGACAGACAGTGCAAACAAGCAGACATGCAGTCGTGCGATACTAGTGTTTCTATCGAGTGTGAAGCGAATGAAGCAGATATAATCAAAGTCATTGAATTTCTATCAACGGCAAAAATGGACCAAACGGAACACATATATGTGATGTGCACTCATACAACCAGTTTTACGTAGTAATCACTATATCACAAATACAAATACCAAGTGGATGTATGACGAAAAAAGTTAAGAAATTAATTGAAAGGTGTTAAAAAATAATACTTTTATTTTATTAGCCATGGCCTCGATAAACTGTCACACAATTGTGTTTAATAGTAACTATAGTCCCATCTGTAGCATTCATAGCTCACCAAGGTGGATGGAGGTGGAATTTTAAAGCAGCTTTCGTATGCTCAAATTTTCTATTATAATTCAAGTACGTTTTGCACCAAAAATGCGCAGGGAACCAAAGTGTTACAAAATGAATGTGTGTGTTTGTGTGTGCATGTGAGCGAGAGACAGAGTAAATATGAGTAAGATGAGATGACCATGACAAATTGACCATCAGGATGTTGCTAATGAACGAAGAAAAAGAAAACACGGTATAATAAATGCACTGGGAGATGTGTTTTAAACAATTCCCCAGGCAGAATTATTGGCCACCTGCCACTTCCACATTGTGCTTGTTTTGAAATCCAAAACTTTTCTGTATCAAAAGATTTCTACAAGGGAAAGTACCTGAGTAAATATAGCTTTTGCCTTAGACACACGCAAACGGCTTTCAATTTCCTTTGCTGCAAAGCTGTCAGCTATTGATACAACAACAAAGCCTGCAAGTACAATTGCCAAGTATATAACAACTGCACTGACTGTCATAGGCATGTCAATGGCAATGGCATCTCCCTTTGAGAATGTTACATCCAGTGCATTTGCTACCAACCTGTGTGGTAGTCATGTTTACATCAAAATGAAATGACCAAAAACACAGGAAGAAGATAAAGGTAAGGTATGCAAATATATTTACTGTGCCCATCCCTATTACTTTCCTGTTTCATTAGCACCTTTCTGAGAATATGAACCGCAAGTGGCGTGAAATCATACATTTAGCATTTTTTATTGTGTTGGGACTTTCTGAAATTGGCCCTAATTTTCATATTTATGACTGATTTATGTTCAAGTTCTTCAAATGAAGGTGAAATTGCTTTCAATTGACTTCTATTATTCTGCAACAGGTCGTCTCTATTTTCCGCAGCTATTGATGTGTGTTTGTTGTGTTACAAGTAGGCTTGAATGGCATTATATGCTTTTTGGCTTTTTCTTTAATGGTCTGTTATTTTGATATTTGACTAATAAGATTTGGATGATAGTGTGCCAAACAAATAATAAAACTGAAGATTGTGAAGGCTTGGTTGCATAACTAAATGGTTGATATGTTAAAAGAGTCTGTATTCTCCATCACATAATTAGGACCACCAATGTTAGTTTACATACTTGAGGCACCACTTCACCCCTAGCCAATTGGTTTTTGGTTGAATGCTATAATATGGTAGTGAAATACAGAAGCATAGCAACAAATAAAAAACATTTTCAAAGAAGTTAAGGAAAGAATGAATCGATGCATCTACATTTTGCATTTAAAGTGAAGTTATCCTCTAAAATGTGAACTACCACCAACTCATTCACCTCCTAGATGACAAGCAACCAAACATGTGGCATACATAACAGAGATAAGAAGTAGACAACTGGGAGCATACATTACTTGTTCTCGAAGCTGTTTTAATGTCATCTGATTCACCTCCAAATCATCACAGCCGTCATCTCTCCATACAATGGCTATATCGCAATCATGCTTTTTTGGATAACTGGTTGACAGCAAACAACACTCAGCAATATTCAAAACTGAACCAGGAAGCCATGTTCCCCCATGTTGTGATTTATCAGAGGTTTCCAGAATGCATCTGGGGGGTTCGCGAAATAGAATTGAAAGCTCTTTCAAAACAATTGACCAGTAGACCTATAAATTGTTCAAAACTATTGATTAAATTAATATACGGAAAGATTAACCTGTTATGCTAGGCATTCATTTTAAAACTACATGTTATAACAAAGACTTGCCTCAGGTTGCAGAACAGAGAACTTCTGAAATAGACTAAAACTTGTTATTGGATCCTTGTATGATGCCCCTAAAAGCTTTGGACCATGAGTTTCCATAAGACGACCCAAGTTCGTGCACTTCGACTGATATCTGAAATATACAGAAATTAATTGGAAGAAAAGATGCACATATTAGTTTTCTGAGTAAGGAAGCGGAGAGAATTCATAAACTGGCAATTTTTTTAACAAGTGCATTTTCTCATAATAAGAATTCAAAAAAAAACCGTGCTATGGTATTCTATAGATTTAGTGTCAAAATTCTTGTAGACTATTAAACATAATCAATCATGCAAAGAACAAGGTGTGATATGCAATCATGTTAGATTAAGTTGAAATTATAGAAACAGAATTAGGGTAAGAAAAGGAGAAGAAGAGGAAAGAAGAAAGAAGAGAGAGAATAATTTGTGTGTAGGCTCTAATTTATAATACAAGCAATTACATTATTATCCTACATTACTAATAATCAGAAATAGGAACTCTAACACTCCCAATCAAGCTTGAGCATACATATCAAAGATGCCCAACTTGAAACAAAGATTACTGAAGACAGATCGAGCCAATGGGTTGGAAAGAATGTCACTCGGCTGATCATCAGAGTTGATGTATAATGTGATAATCTCCTTATCAAGAGATCTCAAATAAAATGACAATCCGTTTCGATATGTTTAGTCCTGTCATGGAATACTAGAGTGTTGGCAATGAAAATAACTGTTTGATTGTCACAATGCATCTCCATAGAAGAGAGCACATTGATGCCCATACCATGAAGTAGTGAACGAACCCACAACTCTCACACGTAGTATGAACCATGGCCTGATATTCAGCCTCTGCACCTGAGGTAAATCGTCTATCAATACAACTACCTACCCAGTCATCATGGAGGATGAGGACAATATAATAATCCTTTAACCAGTGCTCCTTTCAGATACCGTAGAATATGACAAATAGCCTCTCAATAAGGCTTACAAAGAGCATGCATGAACTGACTAACTACACCAACAAAATAGGTAATATGAGGAAATGTAACTACAAGGTAAATCAGCTTCTATTGGCACAAACAAATACCTTTCTTTGATCGAACAACTTTGATTCCAAGAAAATACCAAAGAAGACATAAGTCTCTAGTATGAAACTGCTTCCCCAAATAAACCTTAAAATTGGTAATACCATTTGAGTCATCACTAGTAATGATAATGTCATTAGCATATACAATAAGAATAATAACACCTATAGAAGTACAATGAATAAACATTGAATGGTATGAAGTAGAACGTTGAAAACCATTCTAAAAACAAAGAACAACAGTACTGAACTTATCAAATCAAACAAGTGGTAATTGTTTCAGACCATATAGTACTTTCGTTAGACAACACACTAATTGTTTCTTACAAGACACAACATAACCCGGAGGTTGTATCATATATACCTCCTCCTATAGGTCTTCATGTAAAAAAAATTCTTGATGTCCAGTTGATACAGAGCCCAATCACAACTCACGACAACTGAAATACGAACTCCAACAAAATTAAGATAAGCAACTAGAGAAAAAGTCGAACAATAATTCACACCATATGTCTGGGTGTAACCTTTGACAACCAGACGAACTTCAGACGCTCAACTGAACCATCATGATGATACTTCACTATGTAGACTTAACGACAATTGCCAGGCTATTACTAGAAGGAAGAAAAGAAAGGTCCCATGTATAATTCTCGTTAAAGGCTTTCATTTCCCCATTCACAGTTAATTTTCAACTAGGAGATGTCAATGTCAATTACAAAGAACTAGGAACAAATACTGAAAATAGAGTCGATGCAAAACAACAAAAAGATGGTGAAAGCCAATGCAGAGAAATAAAATTAGAAATGGGATGCTTTATACAATTACGAGTACCTTTCCTCAATGCAATAGGCAAATTAGAAGATGCTGAACTAACTGCAACTTAGGGGCCGAACCTCAGTAGAATCAGATGATAATTGTGAAGCTAAAGCATATGGAACAACCAATCAGTCCTTGTAACAATGACAAACCTGCAAGGGAAGAGAACTCACGGAGGAAGAAGATACACAGTCTGACACAATAGGCAACAAGGGCACCCAGTGGCTAAGAAAGACTAAATCTAGGGAAAGTGTATTACTTGACACAGAAAATAAGGAAGATGACTCAAAAAGATAACATCAGCGATGACATAATATCGACGAGAAACATGGTCATAACAACGTAACCTTTCTGAATACGAGAATATCTCAAAAAGGCACAATTAACCGAGCGAGTTGAAAGTTTATCCCTACCCAAACCAAAGGGATGAAGAAATGTAACATAACCAAAGACATGAGAAATGAGACCAAATGGTGGTTTATCAAGCTAAAGCAATAAGAAAGGAGATTTGTTGATTAAAAAAAGGGAATGCATGCGATTAATAAGATAAGCTGAAGTAAAAACAGTATCAACCCAATATAATTTTGGCACATGCATATTAAACATCAAGGTGTAGACAACATCCAACAAATGATGATGCTTACATTCGGTAACATCATTTTATTAGAAGGTATGAAGACAAGTGGCTTGATTGATAATGTCACAGTCATCACAAAAGATTTTTATAAACGATTGAGTATGCTCAAGGGCATTGTCAGACCAAAGTACTTTAATATGAACATCAAATTGAGTCAAAATTTCATTATAAAAAGTGGTAAAGACCTTAGATAACTCAGATCGGTCTTTCATAAGAAATAACCAAGTTATACGAGAGAAATCATCAACAAATATCACAAAATACCGAAAACCAAAAATACTTTTGACTTGTGCAAGACCCCAAATGTCTGTATGAACAACATAAAAAAGACTAGATTGACACTTGAAGAAGTACGAAAAAAAGAACTACAGTGATGCTTGCCTAGTTGACAAATTTTGCATTCTAACACAAAAGAGTAACTCAAACCAAGGATAACTTGACGTAATTTCTACAAAGAAGGATGACCTAGTCAAAAATGTCACTAGAGAGGTCGCATAGTTGCACTTAAGGTAGGAAAGGAACTTTTGCGATCAGAGTAATAAAGGCCATTGCACTCATGCCCCACACCAATCACTTTTTTCGTCTATAGATCCGAAAAAATACAAGAAGATGGAGAGAAAGTTATTGAACACTATAAGGACTTGGTTAACTGACTTAAGGATAACAAATTAAAGGAAAAATTAAGAACAAATAAACCATTAGCTGATGGTAAGGACTGAGTGCGATTGAGATAGCCAATCCCATGTACTAGTTGAAAGGAACCATCATCAAACACGATACGTGAGTTTGACGCACACAAGGAGTAGAGAATAGGGACGACATACCAAACATATGAGCACTGGTCCTAAATTAATGAAAGTAAGGACAACTTGTGAATGAGTTGTTTAAGTTAAGAAGAAAGTTCATCATGAGAGCAAAAGCCTGAGCTTGAGCCAAAGCCAACAGCTACTGGACCACTTAGTATCAACAAAGGCCTGAGTAGCACATGCAGGTCTCCTATACTTATCCTAACAAAAAACCCATAGTCAACTAAGCAACAATAGGATCAATAGATGACAAACAATTCTCAATCACACAAACTCACCATAAGAGGTTAAGGAATATGCCCCAACAGTCTATATGCACTTCAATATGCAAACCACAATGACACCACACAACCGGACCATAAAAACACCACAAAACACAGCAATCTAGAGGTCAAAAAGCAACTAATAGCACAAGCCAAAACAACACCAAATGAACAAGTCTAGATAGATCTAGAGCAAACTAGAGTAGATTAGCACACCCAAGCCAAGAGAGATGCCAATCGCACAAAGCTTAAGCCAATCAAGCATAGGCGAAGGCCAAACAACAGCCAAATAGTTCAGTCGACACTCAACAACTCAAAAAAACACCTCCAAACGAGCCAATCAGGGCTGGGCATCTTCAGAGTCTCCCCTTTAGTCCAAATTGGCACTCAGTACCAGATCCAAGTAATAATCAAGCCAAAAAAGTCCCAAACCCGCAAATCTAGAAACTATCCCTTATTTTTCTTAAAATTATTCAAAAATAAGAAACCCAACTTTAATGACTTTAAAAAAATTCAAAAAATTAACATAAAAGAAAAGTGCAAAAAACCGACTAGGATAGTAGGTTTTTTTTTTTGCTGAATGGTCGTCTACGCTGACATCAGCATTCCAACACTAACATCAGCGATGAACAATAGCTAAAATTTATTTATTTTTTTTATAAGTCTTAACCTAAAAGAAATTCAACTAACCCAGCGGCACATAGGTGGTTTGTACCTTCTGATGTCGAGAATAGGTCGTCAGAGTATCAGGTAGATCATTGGTACTAACAATTTGTTGCTCCTCCTAATTAGTATCCCACCGGAGAGGCAATTGGAGGAAGTGCTCCTGATATACCATCTCTTCCGCAATACTAGTGTTCTTCCCCTGAAGAGATGGCTAGAAAGGAAAGAAAAAATATTCAAACTCACAAAAAGTAACATTTATGCTAACATACATCTTCTGAAATGGTGGATAGTAGCACTTATACCCTTTTTGAGTAGGAGAACAACTAGCTAAGACACCCCACACGGCCTTAGGATCAAGTTTTTCCCTAGATGCTCTAGAGTCATGTACAAAATAAACATACTCAAAGACTTCAGGAGGAAGTGAAGAAACACAAGGGATCGGTAAAATCCCAAAAAGACACTCAATAGGAGACTTAAACTATGGGACACTATAAGGGAGACGATTAATAAGGTAAGTATCAGTAAGAACTACCTCTCCTAAGAAAATACAGAGGGACATTCATAGTAAACATCAATGAGCAAGCAACCTCAAGAAGATTAGGATATTTTTGCTCAGTAATACCATTTTGCTCCGAGGTACATATACAAGTAGTTTGATAGAGGATACCACTCTCATTAAGATAAGAGAGAAATTTTTCATCAATGTACTCAATTCCATTGTGACTTTGATGTTGGCATCAAACTGGATATCAACCATTTTATAAAAAAAACGAAACTAAGAGAAAACCCCACTTTTAGTGCGTAACA